AAAGTTTACCATTCACCCATGCTGCCACATATGGTCCAGTGCTCCTGCTATATATTTAGAGATTCTTAATAAAATTGAAAGAATCAAAAATATTATTAGTCCTGACATCTTGAGTTCAGTCACTTTCCCACTATAGCTTCCCTAGGCCTTTCCTATAAATACGTTCATCGTAAATTGTTCTGATGAACTCTTCACTATAATCCCTAGACTTTATGAATTTAAGCACAGTACTAGATTGGCAACAAGATCTCATCAATTCACAGTTGTTTTCTCACACTTCTTGCTTGTGTAACTCTTCTGGCTCTATGCTTTCCAGCCAACTTTGGTCTTCAAAATTTAAATGTAATCTCGAGGGGTTGATAAACCATAGAAAATGAACCTATCAATCAAATGAAAACCAGTTCATTCTATGCAGATGTAAACAAACAGTAGACATTTGTATAAAATGTCCTGAATTTGAAAATCTCTATTAATATAAATAGTCCTGTTTTTAGTTGTAAAATGAATTATTACATTGATTTAATGGATAAAGAGAAAAAAAAAAGGTTCTACACTATTTTGAATACTTCAAAAAGACTAATTGGTCTCTCTTATATATTAGAGAGAGAGAGAGAGATGAGATCATGGAAAAATGGGATGATGATTTGCATGTATGTATGAACATTTGACTAAGTAGAAAAATGTGGTTGATAATGAATGTTATCACTTAAAGAATGACTTTAAAAAATCCCTTGAATCTTATGTAGGAACCGAGAAATATTCTAAAATAGTCTTCAGAAATAAGAATTGGTTACAGTCTCTTATTATGCAGTGGAGACAGAATTGCAAAACTTTTGAATAGTAAGGAGATTTAAGATTTAAGATTTAAGAAAAACAAAACAAAAGAAAACCTAATTGTCAGAAAAACTTTCAGAAAGCTACAAAAGACAAATTCTTCACATTATATATAAAGTTTTTTTTTTTTTTGTGATGGGGAGGGTATTTTTACTATTGTTCATCCAATAAAAGACCCAAAAGCTACTCAAGGTCAAGGAGGTCACTAAATGAGGTTGCTGTAAGAGTGCAGTCCTTGAAATAATTAAATGTACACTACAGATACCTGAAAATAATTATTTCAATTTAACTTAAGTATACACATTTAAGAAATTTGACAAATGAAAAACGTTTCATTGCAAATAGATTTGATTACACATTTCGTCATTCTAGGCTTCATCAGATCCCAAAACAAAATAAAGAAATGTATGTGTGTGTGTATGTGCTTAAATAATGAATCATAGTACTTTTTTTTTTCCCCAAGCTGGCATTTCTTGTGATTAAAGAAGAAAGAAAATGAGTGACTTTTGGATCTGATGAAGCCAAGAATGGCAAAACATGTAATCAAATCTATTTTCAATGAAATGTTTTCCATTTGTCAAATTTCTTAAAAACTTTGTTGGGATTTTATATCCTATTTTAAACACACACACATATCTGTGTAAGAATTGGTATCAAATACAGATCAGAATCTGACAGGATGATATAACAAATAGGAAACATTTATCAATCTAACATGTTTCATTTTTATTAAAGCTTCATCAGAGAAAGAGATATGGAAAAAGGAAAGAAATTCTGGTATTTTTATTTTTGTGTTGTTTGATTTTCATTGGTTAATCAGGTTTCATATGCATTTGGCTCATTAAACAAACATTAGTATAGTTTATGGTGTTTTGAATTCAAGGAGAGACAACACGCACTTTCAAAGTTCCAAGAAATTAATGAATTCTAAGCCCAACTGAAAAACCTTGAATATTCCTTTATGTATGTTAAGTATATAATAATTCTAGCTTGTCTATGTGGGATTCAGATGATAATATATCTAAACAGTGTGAACATAAAAACATTGCTAAATTAACATGTGAAGAACCAACAGACATATGTCTGCTACACACACACACACACTTATGAATATATCTGATTAACCAATGAAAATCAAACAATAGAAAAAAAAATACCAGAATGTCTTCTTTTTCTCCATTTCCCATTCTCTGATGAAGCTTGTGACTTCATGCTAGTACAACTATCAATGAACAGTTATGTACGCACATCTGCACAAGCAGGCACATGGCTGCACATACAAGCACAAATAAAATACAGAAAAACAATTACACCAATGTTAAATATATATAAAAAATAAAAAAAAAAATAAAAATCGAAAAAATATAAGCAGTAAATTGCTGATACCCTCTGATGAGTGGACAGACAGGTCTGCCTACAAAACTCTGAAGTTGGGATGCTGAAGGTAACATCAATCAGCTAAGTGACAAATCTCTTACTTATATTAATTCTATTAATGATCTTTGATATTAAGCACTTTATTGCAAAGACTGCTTGCTTTAAATGTCTTTTAACTTGGTATCCCACTAAAAGCATTTTTGGTTTCATACTATCTTTGACTTCGCTATATATATGTGTGTGTGTGTGTGTATGTCTGTGTGGTTGATTTAAATTAATTTAAAACATCCATTGGACATTTGTCAATATAGCTAGTTCCAAAATTAAAGAGTGAATATTAACAGAATTAGAAAATATTTGAAGTGAAATGTAACATGACAAATACAAAATATACAACAATTCTTAATTATTTCCTTGGGCCTCACCAATCTTCTGAAAAATAAAACTAACAGAAATACCTACTGTTTCTTTCCTCATTGATTTTATATATGTGCTCTCTACAAAGGTTCAAGAAATTATAGTACCCAAGAGGCTCAAAATATGTTAGTACCCAGGGAGCTTCAAAGATGCTGGTCTCTCTTGGTTTGATGGGGGCATGCATTATTTCTAAGCCTCATTTCAACCGCTGAATACACGAGGGCTTTCAAGTATTTTCCTAATCCTTTAACACTTCTATCAACCTTGTTCATCTTGACAGTTTCTTGTGTGCTTGTCAAGAAACAAAGATATTTGAAATGTAATTTAATGTAATCACATATGATCTGGTGCTTCTGCTACATATCTTAATATCCTTGATAAAATCCAAAGAAAAATCTCCAATGTTATCAGTCCTGACCTGGTAGCTCCACTTTGGTCACTTTTCCACCATGGTAATGTAGCTTCCTTGTGCCTTTTTTATAAATATTTTCATAGCAATTGTTCTAATGAGTTTTCCCCTTTGGTACTTCACTCATAAATTTAAGTGTAATACTAGACTGAAACAAAGAAAAGAGTACTGGGCTATTACATGATATTTGTCCTCCTACATGGCAGTGAATGCTGGATAATCTCCTTAATGATGAAGCAGAAGAAACTTGAAGCAACAGAAATGTTGTTCTACAGAAAGATGCTGAGCATACCATGGACTGAACATATCAGCAATGACAAAGTTTTAGAGAAAATGTAAACAAATAAACTTATACTTAACATTAGAAAGAGACAGTTGAAATTTCTGGGGCATCTAATGAGGAAAGAGGGCTTGGAAAATCTGACTTTCACAGGAAAGATTGAGAGAAAGATGGACAGAGGAAGACAGTGTGTAACATATTTGATGGGCTTGACTAAATGGATGGTAGAACAGGGTTTGAGGGAAATAGCCAAAAGTCAAAACTTATTAAGAGCTACAAGGAGTAGGAAAATGTGGAGGGCCATGATCGCCTACATCCTGAAGGGACACATCACATAAAGAAGAAAACTTGATTGTCCAGTAGGCCCCATCATTTTATAATAGCTAGATGTAACAAAGTTCTATTCTATCAGTTTCTTCTATCGCACTTCTCATCTGTGGCACTCTCTTCCAGCTTCTTGCTTTCCTGTTAATAACAATCTTCAAAAATTTAAATGCAACATCAATCACAATTTTCTGTCTTTCTAAATTCCTGTTCTTTTATTGTCCTTTCTCCTCATTAATATTTTCTCATTTTTTTTTTTTTTTTACTTAGTAATCCCTTGCATCTTAGTGGTATTATCACCTTGCTTGGGGATAAATGATTAAAAAGAAAACAAAAAATCAAAATCAAAGTACTGAAATATTAGATCTGACTTATTAACAGCAAAGGTTCCTTTTATCTTCAGCTTATGTTAACTCAAAGACTTATATTTTGACAAATTCTAAATTTTCATATTCCATGATAAATAAATTTCTATATAGCAGAACAATATGAGGCAAATGAATGACAAAGTGGAAAAACTTCTGTGTAATGCAATTTGTCTTCTTTGTTGATGGAATTATATATGTGTAGGAGATTTTTTTTACAATGATGTTCACTCTGTACAATAGCCAAGAGCTATTTCGAGATAGAGTGTTACAGAGTTTAAGAGACAGCTCATACAGATATGTGAGGAAGATAACAGTTAACTCTAAACTTAAACAGGTTAATGCAAGTGTCTGCATGTCCAGACACATTTGAGAAAAAAAAAAAAAAAAAAAATTAAATTTCAGTGTTCCCACATCTTGAGTATTTTCTCTCGATATAAAATTGTAACCAATACTTATATCTATATCTCCCCCCCCTCTCATTCCCGCACATATGTAATTCTATTAATAAAAACATTACTTTAGAGGTCCAGCTAGAGGATGAAATGTGTTACACAAAATTTTTTCTACTTTCTCTTTTATTCACCTAATATTCCATGGTCTAGAATTTTTTTTTTCCAATAAGAAAAAATCATTTACCTAAAATGAAAATATTTTGATTTTCCAAATATTTTTTCTATTATAGACAGAAATACAATTGTTACTTTAATGAAAGATACAATTTCATTTTTTTTTATTTTGATGGATTCAATTTCTACAGCTTGCAAGTTATTCAAAGCTAGAAAATACTTTTAGATTACAAGAAAAATCTTTTTGGAGGGAGAGATAATGATTTAGTGATAGAAGTCATATCTGGGTGGAGAAGAAATGGATTCATACCTTTCCCAAGTGTATTTGCGAGTAAGTGAATTTAACAAACCTAACTAGAATTATATCTCAAATCACCAATTAACAATTCCGAGTCATTATCCATTACACCATCCTCATATCCAAGCTTACAGCACCTGGTATTCCAAGGCAGTCACCTATCTAGGTACTGACCATGCTCGGCATTGCTTAACTTTGGGGATCATACGGGGACCAATGTTTCAACATGATGTAACCATAAGCACATTTTTTTTTTTTTTTTTTTTAAATAAAGCATTGTTAACCATTATAATTAAATTAGTGTACTTGTACCACCAAAATGATAGCCATTGTTAGAAAGTTTTAATAGTGAGATGCAAGAAAATAACAGTCTTGAAACAATGTATTGAGATTCAATAAAGCAGCAATAAATAATTAAGCAAAAGCTGCTAAGAAATTTAGTTAACTGTGCTGTGCTAAAACAATTTTTCTCACGAGAAGCTCTCTTACACATTTATCAGTCTACCATTTGCCCATGCATTGAATATTGCTACATCTCATCTGATGTTTCTGCTTTGTATTTAGAGATACTTCATAAAATGCAAGAATCAGCAATGATATTGGTCCTGACATCTTGGCTTCAGTCACTTTTCCACTGACATAATGTAGCTTCCCTGCACCTTTTCTATAAATATTTTTGTGGTAATTGTTCTGATAAGCTTTCCTCTTCGATACCTAGACTTTACAAATATAAATGCAGAACTAGATTGGCAGCAAGATCTCATCATTTTACAGTCAAAATGGCTAGATGTAACCATAAGTTCTATGGAAACATTTTTTCTCTTACACTTCTATTGAGGAATTCTTCTGGTATCTTGCTTCCCAGTCAACTTCAAAAATTTAAATGCAATGTCAATTATCTTCTGTCATTTTAATTTCTGTTCTTTTATTGTTCTCTCTTTAATAATGCTCTTTTTTTTCTCATATTCTGTCACACTCAGTAACCACTTGCATCTTAGTGGCTTTATTGTCTTGCTTGGGGTAAAATGATTAAAAAAAAAAAAAATCTATGAATAATCTCAAAGTTAATTGATTCATTTGCCCAAATAATATAAACACCAAATCAAGCATGACTAGAATTATTACTGTTCTACCAAATGTAATACTAACCATTCAACTACTATAAAGCACTTTATAATACAGATTTCTTACTTTTATTACTGAGATTCAAGAAATGTGTTCTGTTATAGGAATGCAGATAAATTACAGTGCCTTTTGTTTTTCTACCAAAGTACTGGCAAAAATTTACATTTAACTTTGAAAAAGTGATAATAAAAAAAAAAGAACAAGCATTAAGTAAAGCCATGAAGTAAAAGGTGTTCCAATAACTTGGACCAATTTTAAATGTGAATATTAAGTTTAAGCGTCTAATGATTTTTTTTTTCTTTTTCTTTCAGATTTAACAACTTGAGTCTTTTCTTTTGTCCTCCCACCTTCTCATATTCTTTCACACTCACTCTCTTGCATCTTAGTGGCTTTATTGCCTTACTTGGGATGAAATGATTAAAAAAAATGTCAAATCATTATCTTGTCTTAATTCCTGTCATTTTTTTTTCTCATTCTCTCACACTAAGTAAATCCTTACATCTTAGTGGTTTTATTGCCTTGTTTGGGGTGAAATCATTAAAAGAGGAAAAAATAAAGCTTATAACTTCTTCAAGAGTTCAAGATTTTAATATGAACTCATCTAGAAATAGTAACAAATTTCATTATGATGTTTAGCATCAAAATAAAATCTGCTACTATTTTAGGTAATCAAATATTTAAGATAATTTCTTTCTATTTTTTTCCTTAAAAAAAAAAAAAAAAAAATTTAAATTTGTCCTCTTTCTGTGCCTTTTAATTTCCTAATCATTTCTTTTTTTATTTGAAACAACAATGACTAACTTGTACACATGATCCATTTCTCTATTTATGAATGATAAAATACTTCCAAGTTTGAAAAGCATTTGGAAAGAAAGTAAAAAAAAATAAAAATACAAAGAAAAAGTTTTAGTAAAAGACCACTTTTATTAGACACCAAGTGGGATTAAACTCATGACTCAATAGTAATTTTCTTTTAGGGGACAGAGAAAAATGTAACTATTGTATATTTAAACCAACAACTAAAAATTAAAACCTATTAAGTTTTTATCTTTAGCACTGCATTATTAATATTACTTACCTTTCCACTGTATTTTTTTCAAGGCTTCTCAGTTGCAGTATCCTTATTGTTAACTTCACTCAAAGTTGTTTTCTGTTGCCATAGTAGGATATGACAACACAACTATGAAATTCAAACACACTATTGTTCAGGGATCAGAGTCACCTTCAATGGCATGATAAAACTTTTGGCACCGCAAATGAAGTCACATACACAAGAGATAAAAGGTTAAATTGCACACCAAAAATAGAGTACTGCTGCCATATTTGGGCTGGAGTTTCCCAGTCTTAATAGAGTTAAAAAATGCTAACCTGATAAATTATTTCCAACAGATGAAACCTTTCAAGCTTTTTGCTACTCATTATTTCCATCGAACATAATCAAACAAGCTACATTCCTCAGTTCCACCAACTCTAACCCTTACAGCTAAGGCTCACCAATGTAGCATATACACTGAGGCAAACTACCTTCATTCCCTTTATGTTCCACTCAAAAAGCTTCTTACTACAAACCATTACTTTGAGGAACTGAATCCAAAGTGGATGCTTTGTCAACCATTAGAATATTCATCTCTTCATGTCTAGGTTTAACCATTATCTTTCCCACATATCCTCATAAACTATGCCTCTTACCACTCATACAACCTCCTTCAATAACCCTTTCTACCTTGTATAGGGAGAACATTAGTTTTTAAAAAAATAAAGGAATATCTTTAGCATTTGGGATATTTTTAATAAATTAGTTTTATTAGTTTTAGTTACAAAATGTTTTATCAAACAATTTGACAATTGAAAAAAAATGTCAATTCTTCAAGATTAAAAACTAAAAGTCCATACATTTTTTTAACTAACAAAACAAATAAAAAACAAAAACAATCCTGCATTAAAATTCCAATAAAGAATAAAAAGCTAAATATCTATCTTAATTAAGTTTTGCTTAGTTTTTATACAAAAAGCCAATTTAAGAAAAGGAAGCTTTTTGTTACTAAAAAATGCTAATTTTGAAGGCAATCCTCAGATTGCCTTCAAAATTAGCATTTTTTAGTAACAAACAAAAAAGTCTACACATGGCATAGTTTGTTTCATCTTCAAACCTTTTTAATCAAATTTTATATACTTTTTTTAAAAAGTCTATTTAAACAAGAAACAATTATTTTGTTAAGAGGGACGTTGCTTTTTAAGTTTAAAAATGCTTAAAAAATGTTGAATTTTTTTTTAACTTCTTTCCCCTTGGGAACTTTCTTTTAAATGATTTTTGTAAATAATAATTTGTATTGATATATTCCAGTCCATTTGTTATTGTAAAAAAAAAAAAAAAAAAAAAAGAAAATTAAAATCAGACCATTTTTTAACGTTAAAATTCAAATTTCTCTTTCAATATTGTAAAAAATGTACATGTACTTCATTGCAACAATATTCCGAGTAATTATTTTTAAATTTTAAGTTAATTTGAAAAGGTCAAAATGAAATTCCTTTTAAACCCGAGAAACCAAAACTATATTTAGCAGTTAGTAATCAAATCATGCAACAATTTATTTTAAAAAGAATATTCCTATTCCATTTGTCCGAAACCACTTTTTTGTGCCACTCGGTCAATAAAAGAGCGAAAAGAATGGTAATAAGAATATCAAAAGCAAGATAATTGAGAAATATTGATCGCTCTGGCCTTGAAGAAGAAAGATTAAACTTGTTTTTTTTTTTTTTATTGACGAAAAACTGGCATATCTTCTTCCAAGTCAACTTGGAATATTTCTGCATGGAATTTTTCCGGAAAAAAAAAAAAAAAAAAAAAAGCATTTTTATTGAATAAAATTAAAAAAATAAATAAAATAAGCCGAAGAATGTCTCTCTCAAAAATGCCAAAAGATAATTCGAAACATGCCACTCTCAAAGTATGACTAGGAGGAAAAAAATCCACTTTCAAAATATTACAGAATGAAAGAAAAAAAAAAAAATCAGTGGATCCAGAAAAAAAGAACAAGTTATTTTGACGGGTTGTAAGCCAAAAACAAAAAGAAAGAAAGAAAAAAAAAAAGTTTACAATAGGAAGTGGAAGAAAGAGTTTTTAGTCACTAGCCGACTATTTATGAACAATTGGTGAAGAAGATACTAAAAATAGTCCTTACTTAGGAATGTGTTTGTTTTTAGTTAACTGAGAAACCGAATTAGTATCAGAGAAAAGATATTTTTAATTTTAAAACTAAGTGTACTATTTGGATTCAAAAATTGCATCGTGTTTTGTTACTGGCAGTCAAGGGGATTTTTTTTTTTTTTTTTTTTTACTGAATTACTTGCGAATTTTTGTTTTAATTATTAACTTTAAAGTTACCTTTTTGTTTTTATTTTGTGGAAATAAATGAAGCAACTCCAAAAAGGTTCCCTAAATTAGTAATACGTTTTTTTAATAAATATTTTTTTTTTTTTTTTTTTTTTTTGCACGAAGCGTAAACTTAGGACATTAAGTAAGTAAATAAATAAATACTAGAAAAGTAGATTCTTTTAAAAATTCAATTTAATCATGATTTTGTTTGCGTTTTTTGGTTCAGGTTTTTAAAGTAATAAAAATACATGTGGTACTTTCTAAGGCAAGGTTTGTTTGTTGCTTTTTTTGTTTTTTTTTCGCTACACAATAATAATTACTTAAGTTTGTCATTAAAATCTTTTTCTAATGATTCCAAAGCAATAATAACAGATTATACTAAAAAAATAAATAAATGATCATTGTTAGAAAATTAAAAAGAAAACGGAAATATTACAAATAAAATAAATAAATTATAATTTATTTCTCTATGCCTGGGTCAATATTTCAACTCTGAGAAAGAAAAAAGAAAAAAACATGACTCTTTTTTAGTTTTTATTGAAGTAGTTTGTAAAATTCACTGAAGAAAACCAAAGCAAGGAAGCTTCATTTTTGTAAATAAATAAAATAAAAAGTGACTGATCGCAATTATTAATAATTGAGACATTTAGTGGGGAAATCCTTCAAACCATAACAAAATGAATTAATTTCCAAAAGAAGTTGTTTTTCTTCGTTTCTTTTTCTTTCAATATAAACA